AAAATAAAAAAGGGTGAAAAAGGGTGAAAAAAAAATAATAAAAAAATTCACCCCTTTTTGTGCCATGACATTTTTTTTACCACGTTTCTTACGATCGTAAACTTTACGTAAGGTAAGAAAGAGATTAAGTGTCGTGGTTGTAGACGACGTCATAGTTTTCGTATATTGAGGTAAAAAAAAAAAAAAAAAATTGATTTTATGTGTGTGTGTGTGTGTGTGAAAACAACCCTTTCTCATGTTTCAACCCCTTTACCATATTCCCGTAAAATAAAAAATTATTTTTTTATAATAATAGAATCCGATATCTTGCTGGCATTTTTTATTTTTTTTTTCCTTTTCCTTTTTTTTTTTCTTTTATTTTCTTTTCTTCCTTTATTATTATTATTATTATTATTATTACCGTCGTCATCATCATCATCATCATCATCATCATCGTCATCGTCATCGTCATCCACCCTTTCATGTGTAAAAGGAAAAAAACGTTAAAAGAAGGAAAATTAATAAAATAAAAAAAAAAAGGACGACGGGGTGACTGTGCAACGATAATGATGATTATAATAATGACGAAGGTTTTCTTTTTTTTAATTCTTCTTCTTCCACGTTTTTTTTTTTTTTTTTTTTTTTTTATGGGAAAATTTTTTCGTTTTTTGTGAAAAAAAAAAAAAAAAAAGGTGATTAATGATTTCGTAAACAATGATTGTGTGTGTGTGCGTGTTTGAAGGGTTGCGTCTGGATTTTTTTTTTTAAAATAAAAAAAAGGGTTTAAAAAATCTCCCCCCCCAAAAAAAGATTGCCTTCTTTTTCCGTTAATGAGATGAAATCATCCACCTTTAAATATTTACAGCAACAAAAACTACGGGGGAGATACAAAGAGAGAGAGAGAAAGAGAGATGAAATAAGAAACAAAAGAAAGAGAGAGAGAGAAAATGTTTTAACGGATCGTTTGCCGTCGGGTTCAAATTTCCTGTCGTCGGCGGTAGGGGTGGTCGCGACGTCGACTCTAGCGATCGCAGCGGTCGAAAAAATAACTAAATACCTTAACCGTTATTTTAAAAAAAAAATCCGCGTTCGAAATTTAATTTTGCAAAAAAAAACGAAAAAAAAACTCTTAGCGATCACGTGTTTCAAGCAGACGACGTTAAAGTGGCGGCGGCGGCGGTGGTAAGTGGATGACGTCATCAACATCCGTATCCGTTCGTAACACGTCATTTTACTTACCCGCACAGACACACACGCGCGAACGTTTTCATACCGAAAATTTTGCATTTTTCATTTTTTATTGTTGTTACCAAGTTTCCATTTTTTTTTATTTTTATCCAGATGACATGAAGAGAGAGAGAGAGCCAGAGAGAGAGAGAGAGAGAGGGTTCGTAATAATAATAAAAAAAAAAGCTTTTCAACCCTTTTTTTTATTATTATTATTATTTTATCCAGTTGCAGCCGTCATTATTATTATTATTATTCTTTAAAAAACATTCAATCCAGTTTTTTATTTTATTTTTTATTTTATATATTTTAAAGTAATTTAAATTTTTTTTTTAAATAAAAGGGAGAGAAAAATGAAAAGAGTAAAAGAGAGAGGAGAGAGAGAGAGAAAGATTTCATCTTTTTTTTAAATAAAAACTATAAAAACGAATGATGTACGTCAATCACTGCACACACACACACACACACACACATCATGTGGGCGCTTTTCATTCATCCTCCATTTTACAAAAAAAAAAAAAAAAAAAAAAAAAAAAACCCTAACGGAAATATATTAAAAAGAAAAAAAGAAAAAAAAATCCCCGACATTTTCAAAAATTATTACACTACTAGTCTTTATGACGTCACGAGGGGGTAAACGCGAGGTTGTGATGATGATGATGATGATAAGTTTACATCTTTGATTGTTTTTGTTTTGTTTTTTTTCCTATAACAAAGAGCGAAAGGAAGAGTGAAGAGAAGGAGAGTAAGAGAGAGAGAGAAAGAGAGAGAAAGAAAGAAAGAGAAAGAAAGAGAGACAAAGGTAAGGAGGTGAGAGGTGTAGTGAGACACACACACACGTGGATATTTCATCTATACGAATGCTGCATTAACGAGTATGCGTGCGCGCAAATTATCAAATTTATTATTATTATTATTATTATTATTATTATTATTATTATTATTATTTCAATGACAAATCAGGTTTGATTTCTAATTCGGGGAAGAGAGAGGGGGGCGATATTAAAAAAAGAATTTTTTTTGGGTGACGGTTAATAAAAAAAAAAAAAAAAAAATTTTACACTCAACCGATAAAATCAAAACCGATAATTACGTCGTCGTGTAATGATATAGAACGGCCCTAATAATGATGATAAAATTTTCTTCTTTTTCTTCTGCTTTTTTTTCTTTCTCTCTAAAATTTGATTAAATCAAATGTATGTGAAAGAGAGAGAGAGAGAGAGAAAAAATGGCGACGATCAAATAAATTGAAAAAATAATTTGAATTTGAATAAAAGAACGAATGGAACGAAAAGAAGGATGGAAGAGGGGAAGGGAAAACAAAGTAACGAATTTTTGCGTTTATTTATTAATTTTTACACGTCTTCTGCTTTTGCTAATCGAAATCGCGCCAAAGAATATGGGGGAAGGGGGAGATTTCAAATTATGAAAAAAAAGATTAATTCGATAAAATGATCGATAAATCGTTCGAGATATTTCGATTTCAAATGCATTTTTTTTCACCGCCTTTTCGCGTCGTCGTCGTCGTCTTATCCCCTCCTCCCTCCCACTCTTTATTTTCTCCCGCGCGTCCTCGCCGTCGTCGACGTCGTCATACGTCATGCGTCACGTGACTCTTCGATGACGAATTACAGAATGAATGTCATAATAACGGCTCATTTAAATCAAAATCAAAAGTTAAATTTTAAAACGTTTTTCTTTTCGATGTATTTTTTTCACTCATCCTTTCACAGAATCAATTTAAATCTATTAAACAATAAAATTCGACAGGGAAAAAGAGAGAAAGAAAGAGATAGAAAGAGAGAGAAAAACGCATATATATATATGTAACCGTTATTAATGGCCACCACCATGTCTCCTTTTCCTATTGCCCACATCGTTTCTCTCTCTCTCTCTCTCTCTCTCTGTTTTCGTCACGGGTGAAAAAATCAAACACAATTTTTTTTTTTTTTTTTTTTTTTTTTTTTAAATGGAGAATCGAGATTTGGTCAAAATGACGACAATTTCCCCCGCCCCCTCCCCTCTCCTCGATTATTTCCTCCATACGCACCGACCGACGTGACGCACCCGCACGAAACAATAAAAACCTCTTTTAAAAGAGAACCACGCGAGATTCATTCAATTTACCGCCCGTGAATGAAAAAAAAAAAAAAATGAGGAGACGAGGGGAGGGGCGGAAGGTGAAAAAGACGTAGAGGTACGCGTGGTGGATGGGGGAGAGGGAGGGAGAGGGGGAGGGAATCGAACAAACGCGAACAAATATTTGAATTAATTGTAAAGAAATCAATAAAAAAAAAAAAAAAACAAGGTATTAAAATCACGCCTATGAGGGGAACTAAGTAATAATAATAATAATAATAATAATAATACTCGTAATAAAAATAATAATAATGATAATAATAATAACAGAAGAAATTTAAAAAAAAAAAAAAAAAGGCAGAGAAAATGGCGTCACGTAATAAAACGTGAATATAATTTTTTTTTCTTTTTTTTTTTTTTATTTTTATTTACTCTATGACTTATTATTTTAGAATGTTTGTTTGCATGTCGAAACCACCCGTGTTCTCTCTCTCTCTCTCTCTCTCTCTAACGTCGCCATCGCCACAAATACTAATAATGATAATACACACACACACATAAAGGCAATAATTAAAGTTATCATTATCAAACGTACGTAGTAAACGCCTCGGATTTGAGAAAGCGAACAAAAAAAAATTTTTTTAAAAACATTTTCGACGACCGGAAACGAATCCGCGACATATTTCCGTTCTTTTAAGCTCAATCATTCTCTCTATTGAAACTATTTTTTTTTTTTACTACATTTTGTTAAACGGTTAAAAAAAAGCAGACGACACTTGATTTACGGGATTCGACAAACGATCGATCGGGAGTGCACAAAAGTTTCGATAAAAAAATTATTCGAAATCATCATCATCATCATCGTGTTCGACAATTATTTATCAATCTCCTGCCACGTATTGTCTTTCAAACGATACGTTCCACGACAAATCAACCCAAAAAAACATTTTTTTTTTAAATTTTTTATTCCGATATTTTAAACATTAAAATAAAATGATGATAATGTCGTCGTGGAAATAGAAAAAATCGACCGTGTAAGAGAGCGAGAGAGAAAGAGAGAAAAACAAAACGATTTATCCGCTACTTAGTTTAACCGTCTTTGAAAAATTTAGTAAAACCGGAAACGAGGAAAAAAAAAAAACCGTTACGTTAAAATTAAAAATTAAAATGTCTGTCGCGTCACGTGTGATCCGACGGAGAATTTTTTTTTTTTTTTTTTTTCAATTTATTAATTAATTTTGGGTCATTTCGGTTCAAATCGATTCGAAAATTAATTTCTTATTATAAAAAAAAAAAGCAGACGAAAAATAAAATTATTATTATTATTATTATTTTAAAAAAAACCTGTAACGGCTACCTGAATTCGTTAAATAAATAAATAAATTCGCTTTTCGGGTAATTTTAAAAGTAATAATATAAAACGATGACGACGACGACGACGACGAATATACAAAAAACACGGACACGTGTATGATCTACGTGCAAATAAAGAGAGTCAACACGTGCAAGTCAAAAAAAGAGAAAAAAAAAACGACGTGTCTTTAAGGTGATTACTACGTAACGTCGAAGATTTTTTTTTTTAGAAAAAAATTATTTTCATTTAATATTTTTTTTTTTTTATTGCGTAGTAATGGTCGGTTGCGCACAATTAGAAACTTAAAAAACCGTGGAATACTTTTCTCTCTCTCTCTCTCTCACTCTTTCTTAATCAATGTCTACCACTCTGTCTCTCTCTCTCTCTCTCTCGTTCTTTCGACGTTTTTCACATTTAATAAAGTCTTTTTCATTAAAAAAAAAAAAAAAAAATTTCTACTGCAAAATCTAAAGTTTAAGGGTAATAGAGAGGGGAGTCGGGGGTTAAGCGATGAGAGAGGGGGTGGGGGTAAAAGAGAGAAAGATAGAGAGAGAGAGAGAAAGAGAGAGTAAAAATAAGAAAAAATAAAAAAAAACTTACCGTGTTTGGGTTCGACCAATATGGTGGATCCGGTCAAAAGTTGTGATGGTGGTGGTGGTGGTGATTCGTTACCATCCTGACTATCTGATTTTCCAAATTCTTGCATGGCTGCCAACGACAGCATGGAAGTTAAATTTTGCGGAAACAAAACCTGAAAATCCAAAACAAAAAAAAATTAATAGAAAAAAAAAACTGAAGAGGAAGGAGAAGGAGGAAAACAATTTGTCGTTTTTTTTTTTTTTTTTACTCTTTGACATTTTCGGGTTTTGTTTGTTTTTTTGTTTGTTTGTTTGTTTGACTTCTCTCTCTCTCTCTTTCTTTCTCTTTCTCTCCATATCCGAGTCGTTTTTTACGTGAGCAAACAGAGAAAGAAGTTGACAAAAAAAAAAAAAAAATGCATAATCACGAACGACAAAAAACCGGCGACCGGATTTAATAAAAAAAAAAAAAAAAAATTCAGGTAAAAACAACCGGGGAGTGCGACGTGTGGAGGTCCCCCTCTCAACTCTCATCTCTCTCTCTCTTATTACCCTTACTCCCTCCAACCCCCCCCTAATCTCCCATTCAATTCAAAAAAAAAAGTCGTTATCATCATCTTTGTGAATTTTTCACAAAAATCATAAATTTATGACGTCACTACGATCCTTTTTTTTACGACGAATGGCGGTGGTACCAACATTTAAAAAAAAAATTTTTTTTTTTATTCTTGTTCGATTTCGATTTCGTTTCGTAATCATTTGCCCCCCCCCCAAAAAAAAAAAGCTGAATAGGTGTTTGAAAGTTTCTCTCTCTCTCTCTCTCTCTCTTTTGACAACCTTGTACGCCTGAAGGTGTTCGACTCTGACGAAATAGCCTTAAAGGTTCGACGACAGACGAGAAAAATCACACGAAACCCTGTTTCTACCTACAACCTGTTTTTAAACGATAACATAATCTCCACTCGCTAATCATCATTATATCATTATTATTATTATTATTATTATTCCTTTTCATTTCTCTTTCTCTCTCTCTCATTTTCCTACCTCTTCCTCTTCACAAATTCACCGGCCACCTATTCGGAAAACACTAGAGAGAGAGAAAAGAAAGAAAAAACATTTTCGACTACGGCACTGATTACACTCAGAAAAAGATTATTATTATTATTATTTACTTGAAAAAACGGAGAGAGAAAGAAAGAAAGAAAGAAAAACAACAACAACAAACATCCAATTCATTAATTCTTCTTCTTTTTCTTTCTTTTTCTTCTGCTTTTTTTTTTTTTTTTTGTAAATATAAAAATTGTTAAAACACGAAATGCTGACAACAATAATAAATTTAAATGTTTTATTATTATCATTATTATTATCATTGTTATTATCAGTATTATTATTATTATTATTGGTATTATTGGAGTGGAAGTAAAGAAAAAAAAAAAAAAAGAATTCGAGAAGAAAAACACGATAAGTGAATGAGAGAGAAAGAGAGAGAGAGAAAACGCAACGAGAAAGAATAATAATAATGATAATAATAATAAGGATTTAACGGAAATAACAAAAAAAAAGTGAGATAGAGAGAGAGAAAGAAAGAGAGAAACAAGGAGCACTCCCATTTATTCATTTTTTTTTCTTTTTTTTTTTTTTAATTTTGTAAACGTTAACGTACCTTAAATGAAAAAAAAAAAAAAAAAAAAAAACGAAAAGAGAGAAGAAAAGAGAGAGAGAGAGAGAGAGAGAGAGAGAGAGAGAGAGATTTCAACGCATTCAATAAAAATAAGAGATGCGCATCACCGAGTCCCAAGCAGACATCAAATGGAACCCCCAAAAAAAAAAAAAAAAAAAAATTTATTCGTTTGTCAAATAATCTGTCACGCCAGAGCCACGAAAAAAAAAAAAAATGAGCAGAAGACACAAAAAAAAAAAAATTTTTTTGTTTTGTTTTGTTTTGTTAGGAACTTTAAAAGTTTCAACGAGAGAGAAAGAGAGAGAGAGAGAGATTTTTCACTGAAAAGCTTTGAATGGCGTTAAAAAAAACGAAAAGAGACGATAATGATGTTGTTGACCATAGAGAAAGAAAGAATCTCCTCCCCTCCCTTTTAACCACTGCCAACCTAATAATTTCATTCTTCATTATGATCATCATCATCATCATCATCATCATCGTACCTAACATTCACCTTTTTTAGATTTACGCCTCCGTTCTTCGTATATATACTTGTTGAGAGAGAAAGAGAGAAAGAGTGAGAGTCTCCGTCTCTTACGTTTATCGTCGTCATCCTTTCGTTATTATATTCCATAGAGAAAGAAAACCAATAAACCATAGAGAATTATTCCACCAAATCAAATCCCCTTAATTAAAGAATGGACAAATAAGGAAATCTCTCATTCGGTTTTGAATAATAAGAACAAAACAAGGGGTCGGACAACAACAACAACAACATTCGTCGGGTACACCTCGCGGGTATCCCGTACTAAAATTACCACAACTTTTATTCCATTAATAATAATAATAATAATAAAATCTTTTATTTTGTCATCGGGGAGTCTTTTTCCCTTCCTTCCTCTACTTCCTCCTCCTACTCTTACTCCTCCTTTCTTTCTTAACCAACACATATTACTCACACGCGCATGCCACCACCACCATAAAAAAAAAAAAAACTTTCGATACAAACAATTGAATGAAATTGGTAGTGGTGGGGAGAGTGAAGAGTGGGGGCGGGGGCAGGCGACGAACGATATGAATCGTTTTTATTATCTGACGATTACCAACCGAACAAATTAAAAAAGGCAAAAAAAAAACTTACCCTCGAATTCGATGGAAGAATGGAAGATGATGAAGTTGTTGTCGTCGTCGTCGTCGTCGTTGATGATGATGATGATGACAATGATGATGATGATGGTAAACCCGCCATTTTTGCCAAATCCGCAGCCATTCTCAATTTAAAATGTTCGAATGAATCCATCATGTCGACATCGTCGAAAGAACCATCGCCGATGATGCCGCCGAAGCTGCCGCCTACGCCCACACCGCCACCGCCGCCACCGATTCCTCCTTCTCCCAAATAACCTTCTTGTCTTTTTTGTTCTTTTTTCAGGTACGGTGAAAGTGGCGTTCTTGGCGGTGTCGGTGGTTGTGACAATGACGGACTGTACACGTGTTTACCAGACGTGTTCGGTAAAACGGAATCGTATTTTTCTAATATTTTCCCTGAAAAAAAAAATTAATTAATAAATCGAAATGATAAAACAATTAACAAAAAAACAAAAAAATCGATAAATCGATATATCGATCGATTGATCGATCGATATTTCAAAAAAATAAAAAACAATTCGATCCGACGAAAAAAAATATTTTTCCCGAGTGTGTGTGTGTGTGTGTGTGTGGTTTCTCTTATGCGTCTGATTTCTTTCTCGGGTTACGACGATTAATTTACTGGAAGAAAAAAAAAAATCATTTCTGGAGAACCAGAAAGAGAGAGAAGGAGAGAGAGAAGGAGAGAGAGAAAGAGAGAGACAGAGAGAGGAATTAAAAAAATAAAAAAGGAAAAAAATATAAAAAAAAGGTTAAAAAAAGAAGGAAGGAAAGAAAAAGAAAAAAAAAAGATTTTTTTTTTTGTTTAAAACGAGGAAATAAAAAACCCAAAAAAAAAAAAAAAATTAAATCGACCGAATAACATTTTCAACCCCTAAATATCAAGGATATATAAGGATATCAATTTTCTTATTCACCCCCTTCGCTCTTTACGTACTTTTTTTTTTTTTCTTCCTTCATAAAACAATTATAATGGTTGTGTGTGTGTGTGTGTGTGTGTGTGCGCGCGCGGGTTTATGTTTACATCTTTACGTATGATTTAAAAAAAACCCTTTTATTATAAAAAAAAACCGTTAAGAAGGTAAAAAAAAAAAAAAAGGAAGGATACCGTGAAATCAAAATCTCCGCGGGAAAAACAAATTTTAAAAATTATTATCATTATTATTATTATTATTATTACGACTACGATGATGATGATGATGATGATGATGAATTCGTTTGCGTTTTCATATTTTTTCATGTTTTTTTTCTTTTTTTTTCTCACCCCCCCCCCCTTGAAAAGAGGAAATACTTAACGAAATGATAATTTTTCTAGAATTTTCTTTATTCACTCTCTTTTTCTATCTCTCTCTGTCTCTCTCTTTTTCTGTTTTCTTCATTTCCCCCTCTCCCCAAAAAAAAAAATTTGAATCTAAGTGACAATAGACCGACCGGACTACTCGAAGGAAAGAGAGAAAGAGAGAGAAATAGAGATAGACTCGAATAATTTTTTATCATCATCATCATCATCATCATCATCATCATCATCATCATTATCATCATCATCATTATCATTATTTTTGTAAGAATTGACCTCGGTCGGATTTATGCGGCCTCTCACCTGGTTCCTTAATTAAAATCCGGAAAGACAAATCGTCCGGAAAAAGAAAAAAAAGAAGAAAAAAAAGGCTCCCTCCGGAGAAATTATATAATAATAATAATAATAATAATAATAATAATAATAATAATAATAATAATAATTAAACAAATAATAATAATAATAATAATAATAATAATTTTTGTAATAAGTATTTATTTTTCTTCTGCTTTTAATAAATAAATAAAACCGATTTGTTTCGCTGATTTAAGAAAAAGCAGAAGAAAAATTCTTAATTAATTAATTAGACATCGGAGTCGTACGGATGAGAATCGGTAGAAAAGAGTCGTGGAATTAGAATCTGCTCCCCCTTTCCCCCTCAGAAAAAAAAAATTTCAAAATTCACACGTAAAAAACGTATCTGGATATTATTACATAAATTGGAATCCCAAACCAAAAAAAAATTTTTTTTTACCCCTTTTATAAAAAAATAAAAAAAAAAAAAACCCAAAATAAAAATTTCACACGGATTTTTAACGTGTATTTAGAAAAAAAAAAAAAAAAAATTCACTTTGCGTCGTTTTTACAACCCCAAAAAAGAAAAAAAATTAAATTTCCGTAAATTGATATTTTTTTTTTTTTAGAAAAAAAAAAAAACAAGGACTTATTGAAATATTTTCCCTTAATTGTTTAAGGGTTGATACACGGGGATCAGGTTATTTTTATTTATTTTACTAAAGAGTGGATGGAAACTTTTTCTC